CAGAATGTTTAATTAACACTAAATTAGTCTAAAACTCTGTATCTGTTAAGTGATAGGGAATCGAGGAGAAAAATTAAGTGATAAGACATCTGGACCACAGCCATTGATTTAATTCTAAGTCAAGGCAGCCCTCCAGGTTTCTGAGTCTGGAAATCTTAACAGGTATAGTTCGCCTCATCTTTCTCCTCAGAAGCAGATGGCAGGTTCAAACTCCTGACCTTTTAGTCAGCAGCCCAACACTTAAGCCACTATGTCTTCAGGACTCTTTCTTAGAAGTTATTGTTGTGTGTGCCATCAGGCTGGAACCAACCCAGAGGTGACCCTCCAGGGAGTTTTCAGAGGCGGGTAATTGTATGGGAGGAGGCTGCCCACCCTTCTCCTGAGGAGCAGCTGGGAGATTCGAATCATGTGCCATTCGGATTGCAGCACAGCTTCTTACCACTAGGCCACCAGAATTCTACTTTCTTAGAAGTTGTTGTTATGTGCCGTCGAGTCGTTTGCGACTCATAGCGACCCTATGTACAACAGCCCTAAACCCTGCTCTATCCTGTGCCAATCGCACTGCCTCTGACACTCCTATCCCGATTACCCCAGTCACTGAATCAATCCACCTCATACAGGGTCTTCCCCTCCTGCGCCGTCTCTCCACCCTCCCAAGCATGATGTCTCTCTCCAAGGACCTGTCTCTCCTTACAACATGTCCAAAGTATGTCAGACGAAGCCCCAGAATCCTTGCCTCCAAGGAGTAGCCTGGTTTAACCATCTCTAGGATGGATCTGTTTGTTTTCTTGGCAGTCAATACTCTTCTCCAGCACCACAGCTCAAAGGCGTCAATTCTTAGAAGTAGGTACATATAATATGCGCTTCTCAAACTCAAAACTCAAGACCATAGTTTCAAGTCTGCTAGAAATATATGCGTCCCAAACAGGCAAGTCAATAGTGATAAAAAGGAACCTAGTGATTGCCTAGGTCTGGGGAGTGTAGGGGTGAAATGGGGAGTAACAGCTAACTGACATGGTGATGAAAATAAGTTCTAAGATAGACTGTTGTGCTTAGATCATAATAAAAAACTGCTTGATTGTGACTTGTCAATTTCATTTCAAGAAATTTATTAAAAAATACATATGGTTTTACTAAACTGATTGGTAGACTGAAGTTGCATTGAATATAATTCAGATGCTTTCAGTAGATTACAATGATTGTTAAACACAAGTGCCTACGCTTCTGACAAAGGTATGCTTGAAATGTTTTCCCTTTGAGCAGGACATGTTCAAAAAGACCTAAATACTCCTTTCTTTCTAGCAAGGAAAACCCTCAGTGAGATGGACAGGCCCAGTGACTGCAACAATGGTCCTTAGCAAACCAGAAACTGTGAGGATGGCACAGGTCAGGACAAGGTTCTGATCTGGTGTTCACAGGGTCCCTATGAGTCACCGTGGACTCGATGGCACCTAACAACATCCAGCAACATCCAGGTGCTGTCCTGCAGTTCAACACCCTCCCTGCCCCTGGCAGGCTTACTCCTGAAGAACAGAACCTCTAAGGAGTTGGTTATCTCAAAACCAAACCACTGCTGTCGATGGTTCACACTCTCAGGGTTCAACCACGGGCTTGTGAGGTTGTAGTTTTCTGCGGAAGGAGATTCATCCTTTTCTCTCTAGCTATCTTTCAGTTAGCAGCCCTACACACCTCCTGGGTGCATGAATGTTGGTTCAACAGTGTACCGGAATCCATGAACTTTATTCTACAATGAGACTCTGACCTGCACTGAGTTTGTCTCTTTAAAAAGAATTCTAACAAATGTGTCTACTTTCCCATCCCACCTGCCTCATCCTCTACCTCGCCTGACATGTGGCACCTCCTTACCATTCTTCTTCATTCACTGACATTTTTGGCATTTTTTTCCTTTCTCAGTCCAAATCCTAACAGTTCTGTCTTTTCACTTATGAAGCACCACTGTCCATCCTCAACCTCACCAACCTTCTTCTCATCCCAATGAAAGAGGTCTTCCCAAGGTCACTCTGGTTCAATCTCCTGCTGAGTTTGCATTTTCATCCTACCTATACGGACTCAAGCCACACTATAACAAGATTCTAGAGGATTCTTACTATATCTATGATTGTGATTCCATATAAAACCTCAAACTCCCTGCTATCAAGTTGGAACCATCTCATAGTCAATCATTCAGGGAGTTTCCAAGGCTGAACATTGCAGAGGAGGGAACTGTCTGTTTTTCTCCAGAAGAGCTGGAACTGCTGGTGGATTTGAACCACCAGAGAGGCCTGGCCGTTTGGTTAGCAGCACAACTCCTTATGGCAGCAGCTATCGGGTCTCCCTCCCCACAATTCGGTATGTTGTTTTTAGGTGCCCCTGAGTCAAATACGACACACAGTGACCCTGTGAACAACAGCTCTGAGCCCTGTCCTACCTGTGCCATTCTCTTCGCTGTGTCAATCCATCTTGTTGAAGGCCTTCCTCTCTTTTGCTGACCCTTCACCTTTCCAAGCATGATGTCTCTTTCCAAGGAACAGCCTTTCCTAAACAACATGCCCAAAGAATGTGGGATGAAGCTTCATCATCCTTTCCTCCAAGGAAGATTCAATACGGCTTGGTAAAAAATGCAAATTCTCGGCAAGAGGTAAGCTTGGAATGAAGCCGTTCAAAACTCAGATTTTCATTACCTGTTCTACTTCATCCCTAAAGTTAATGGAGCCTTGTTCTTACTCTCCATTCCTTCCACATCCCGAATAACTCACATATCTGACTCCATCAGCCCAATAATTCACATATCTGACTCCAGCAGGCCACTGCTCTTAAACCTTCTCAACACCTTCTATCATTTTTATAATTCCCTTTTAAATTAAGATAACTCATGCACCATTAAAATTCACCTTTTAATAACACATAATGCAACTGTTTACTAGTGTATACAGGAGCTGATACAACCATCACCATTAGCCGTTCCAGAACATCTCCATCAACCCCATAAAGACACACATGCCCATCAGTAGCCCCTCCCACACCCCTCAATCTCCAGGAACCACTAATCAATTATCTTTTGTCTCTCTTTAGAATTTGCTTATTCTGGACATTTCATATAAAAAGGATCACACAATAGGTAGCTTTTGGCTAGATGTCTCTCAATCAAGAGTGTATCCAAGGCTCATCCCTGTTTTAATGTACATCAGTGCACCATTCTTGCTCATGGCTGAAGGATATTCCATGAGCTGGATATGACACTGGTTGTTTCTATTCATCAAATGAGAGATACTTGAATGCCTTCTACTTTGGGACTGATAATTACTGCAGTGAACATTCATGAGTAAGTTTGTGTGGACATCTTTCCAGTGTTTTCAGGTTGTCAATTCACTCCTGTACCAAGGAGCAGGACTGATGCACCACATGGACACTTTATGTTCAGTATTTTGAGGGACTGCCAAGCTGCACTACTTTACATTCCCATCAGTCATGCATGAGGATTCCAATTTCTCTACCGTTCAACACTTGGCACTGTTGATCCGTCTGATAACCATTTGAGTGGAAAGCAGTAATTCACTGTGACTTTTCAATCTCATTTCCCCTAGTGATTAATGATGTTGAATGCCTTTCCCTGTGCTTACTGGCCACTGGGGGTCTTCTTACAAGAAATGTCTGGTTTGTCCTCAGTCCTCACATAGTCTCAACTGGTGACATCTTGGTTCCTCTGGTTTCAATTACCACTTAACACCGCTTGATCCCTTGACCTAATCTCTATTTCCTGCCTCTCACCTTTCTTCCTGCGCTTCTGGTTCGTCTGCCTCATCATCTTCTCTAACTGGAGAGCTATCCCATCTTCAAGCTGTGTCAAAAACAGGGTTTTTGGCAGGTTCTCACCAGCTTCACCTGCTAGTGAGATGAGAATCTACATCTTCTCAGCAGGGGGTTGAAATCCTGGTTCTACAGCAAGTGTTTTCTCTACATCCTTCTAATTTCCCCTAATTCTGCATAACATCAGTTCTTGAATTCTGGCTATTAAAAAATCCTTTTAAAAAGTCGCTCACTCTACTTCCTTCCATTCTTGCTGCCTATGCCCTGAGCCAAGCCAGGACCACTTCCTAACAAGCTAACCACAACATCCTCCGGATTGGGTTTCCCAGCTCCACCCTCTTCATACTGTGGCCCAGAGATCTTGCTAACATGCAAACCTTTCCATGTCATCCTACAGGCATGTGCGACTGTAAGAGATGGTGAAGGATTACAGTGGCTGGAGTCTGATCCACTTGGTTTTTAATCTTCACATCACTAATTTAGTGGACACAACAATGTAGTGTGGAGCTTCTTTAACTTCTCAATGCCTTGCGGTGTTTTCTTGTTTGTGGGATTTTTTTTCCATTGGAGGAGAGAGCAAGGACCCCAGCTTTCAAGGAGAACTGAGATTGATCCTAGCTAGCAATGCTCTTGGTTCAGAGTTGGCACATTTTAAGTGCTTGGTGGACTTCAGCTATTAGTTTTCACTAAAACCTTCCAAGGAGGGCAAATCAATTATCCTCACTTTCACTCTAATGTGCGTGGATTAAACGGAATGATTTTTAAGCTATAAGTTCTTCGGATACTGAAGCGTGGTGCTCAATTGCAACTGCATTCTGTTCTAGTTTCAGGGATTTAAAAAAAAAAGTAGTTTTGCGAAGAGGAAGCAGAGGATGCAGCTGGGATTCCAGAACAGGGTTCTGCAGAGACAGAACCGGGACGCTGGCCGCGCAGCCCGGCCCCTCCTGCGGCTGCTCTGCGGCGGGAAGGCTGACCTGTTAACCCGTGGCGACTCGCGCACCAAAGCCTTTTTCATTAGCATCGAGATCACACACCGCGGGCCCACGTCAGTCCCGTGGCATCCTCCTTCCCTTCACCCCACCCCGCGGTCCCGGGCAGCGGAGTCTCTGGGAGTCATAGGAAGCGGGCTCCTCCCCGCAGCTCTGGCCACATGCCCGGCCAGGGACATCCCTCCCGGTCCCTGCTGCACTCACCTTGAAGGACATCGTGCACATGACCGATGATCCCTCCCCAGCCGCCGCCCCAGCGGGACCCAGCGCACTTCCGGCCCAGGGGCGCCTTCTCCTTCCCTCCCCGCAGCTTCCGCAGAGGGGCGCCCCCCGCGTGGCGCGTGCTCCCGCCGCGGGCCGGCCGTAGCCACCGACAGGCCGGCGCTCCGGGATGGGGCGGAGCCCGGGGCGGGGCTCGAGGAGGAATGGGTCATGAACATGGGCGGGGGCTGCGGAGGGGCGGGGCCATGGGCGGGACTCTGAGATAATCAGGAATAAATGGGGCGGGACCTGTGGGGGGCGGGGAGAGAAGGAGGCGGGGCTCCGGGGAGAGACGGGTCCTGAATACACAAGGTATCTGTGGAGAGGTGGGGCGGGGCCTGAGTGGGACTCGAAGGAACTAGGCGAGGATGGGGCGGGGCCTGCGGTGGGGTGGGACATGGGGGTGGGGCTACTGGAAGGGGTGAGAATTGAGTATGGGCGGGGCCTGCTATGGGGCGGGGCCTGGGGCAGGATTTCAGGAGGAATGGGGCAAGGATGAGGTGGGGTCTGAGCCTGCGCAGGGCACAGGGCAGGGCTCCAGGGTGGGATGGGGCATGGGTATAGGCGATGTCTGTGACGGGGCGGGGCCTGGGTTAGGGACTCTGAGAAGGGATAGAACATGGACCAAGCGGGGCCTTTGGTGGGGCGGGGCAAGGGCATAAGCGGTGCCTGTGGGGAAGGAGGTTGGAGACGAGAGAGGAGGTCCTGGGCGGGGATGTAAGCGCGGGAAGTAGAGGGTGTGTACCCCTCAGCTCACCTCTTACCCAGATACCCCAACGGGAGGTTAACAATTTACACTCCTCATGTGATTTACTGTCCTCCACATCTTTTGTCTCTCTCTCTCACACACCTTTCTGTTTCTTCCTCTCTGCTTTCAGAATTCTCCTGGCAAATTTGACTATGATATGACTTGGTGTTTTTCTTGTGGGGTCTATTCTATATGGTGTTCGCTCAGCTTCTTGAATATATATTCTCTCATTCTATATTATGCCTGGTAAGTTTTCTTCTAGTAATTCTTCCACAACTTTTTCTGTGCCTTTACTTGCTTCTTCCTAGTCTGGGATTCCAGTGATGCACATATTATTTCTCTTGATGGTATCCCAGATTATTCTTAGGTTTTTGAATTCACCATTGTTAGGCGATCTCCTGCATGATTTATAGCCTCTGAAAACCTGCTAAAGTGTCAGTTATGAGTAATTTCTGACTCTAGGGCAATGACTGAGGTTTTTTAATAGGAGCACTAATAATTAGAGCTTAGTCATTCATGGTAAGCTAAGGACATGCTTGCCAATCTATGCCAGGAATTTTAGAGGACAGCTGCCTGGTCGACTAACTGAAAAAAAAATATGCATATTTGTTGCCATTCCCAAGAAAGGCAATCCAACATAATGTTGAAATTATAGAATATCATTAATGTCACATGCAAGCAAAATACTGCTGAAGATCATTAAAACATGGCTAGAACAATAAATAGAGAACTGCCAGATGTTCAAGCTTAATTTAGAAGAGGCTGTGGCATCGGTGATATAATTTCTGAAGTCAGAGGGATCCTGGGTGAAAGCAGAGAGTTGTTGTTATGTGCCGTCGAGTCGCTTGGGACTCATAGCGACCTAAACTCTGCTCTGTCCTGTGCCAACCGCACTGTCTCTGACACTCCCATCCCAATTATCCCAGTCACTGAATCAATCTACCTCATAGAGGGCCTTCCTCTCCTGCACTGTCCCTCCACCCTCCCAAGCATGATGTCCTTCTCCAAGGACCGCTCTCTCCTCACAACATGTCCAAAGTATGTTAGACGGAGCCTCAGAATCCTTGCCTCCAAGGAGCCACCCGGTTTAACCCTTTGCAGGACAAATCTGTTTGTTTTCCTAGGAGTCCATGGTATTCTCAATACTCTTCTCCAGCACCACAGCTCAAAGGCATCAATTCTCCTTCTATCCTCCTTGGTCATTGTCCAACTGTCTGATGCATAACAAGTGATTGTGAAGTCCATGGCCTATCAGACACACCTTAGTCTCCAGAGAGACACCATTGCTCTTCAGTACAGAGTAGCAGAGAAATATCTATTTGTATCTTATTGACTATGCAAAGGCATTTGACTATGTAGATAGTAACAAACTAAACTATGGTTAACATTGAGAAAATGTGAATCCTAGTACACTGAACTGTGCTCATGTGAAACAAATACCTAGACCAAGAGGCTGTTGTAAGAACAGAGCAAGAGAACACTATATAATTTAAAATAAAAAATAAAAGCATAAGAGAGGTGAGCATGGGCAGGGGGTGGGGGTGGTTAATCATAGGGTCACATTTAATGAGTGGAGAGAGGGGTGGGTGAAGCAATTGGGAAAGATCCAGTGTGAAAAACAATGTGTATGAACTTTGTAAATAAACCGGTATAAAAGAAATTAATTTAAAAACTCAACAAAAGTATATGTCAGGGTTGTAGCCTTTCTCCATATCTATTCACTCTGTATGTATGCTGAGAAAATAATTTGAGAAGTTAGGTTCTATGAAGAAGAATGTGGCATCATGATGGGAAGAAGACTTATCAATAATCTACATTATTTAGATGACACAATCTTTCTTGTTAAAAGTGAGGAGAACTTGAACCGTTTGCTGCAGAAGATGAAAGAATATAGCCTTCAATATGGATTGCATCTCAATGTCAAGAAAACAAAACTTCTCACCATTGGATCAATAGGCTACATCATAATAAACAGAGAAAAGATTGAAAACTGTCAACAACTTTGTCTTACTTGGATCCACAATAGATGTACTTGGTACCAGCAATCAGGAAATGAGGAGATGTATTGAGTCTGCAGTCAGAGACCTCTACAATTTACTGAGGAACAATGATGTTAGTTTGAGAACTAAGGTGTACTTGGTTTAGATCATGGGTTTTCAACCATGTGCTAAGGATCTGAGAGCTGGACAATGAATAAGAAAAACAGAAGAAGTGATGCCTTTAAATTGTGGTGTTGTGATTGGAATCCAACAGTGGGTCTGCTGGAGAAGGAGGGGCAATCTCCTCCTGTACCAGTCAGA